CAAAGAAGGCTGTAGAAAAAATTAAAAGTATCTTATACTAAATGAAAATTGTTCGAATTATCATAATTCATAGCATGCTACAAAAGTAGTGCACAGAAGAAAATTATAGTAGTAGCTATATATATTAGAAAGTATAGTTGTTTAAAATAATAATATAAGCTTCCACCATAGGAAAGTAGAGACACAAGAGTAATGTAAAGTTAAAGCAGATGAAGGACATGTAATAGAAATTAGAATAAATAACAATGAAATTAGAAACTAAAGCATTAGAGAAAAAAAACCTCTAAATGCTGTTGCTTTGAAAAGATTGATAAAATTGGTAAATCTTGAGTTTGGCTAACCGAGAATAAGTGATGGCTAACCAAGAATAAAAGAGAAGTATAAATTACCCATATCACAAATGAAAGAGGGGGTCATTCTTATTATTTCCATCAATAACAAATTTAAATTAAAATAGTTTCTTTTATAGATATAGGCCTAAGACTATTTGTCCTTATCTACTATGGTTATGTTTTTCAAGGAATTGAACCATTTTGGCTAAGTTATTAAACTTATGGGTATAAAGCTGTGTATATTTTTTTATTATTTCTAAATGGAACTTATTTCAGTTTGGATGAGGTCCTAATTCCTGAATTTGGTTGTCCTGGGTACTAATCCTTGAGTATCTTGTAGTCCCAGGACATAAGTACTTAAAATATAAAAACTCCACGTGATACAGAAGGATGCAGAAAGCAGGACTAGAGGTATAGTACTTGCCTAGCATGCATGAGGTGATGAATTTGCAGGAAGAAAAGATATGGGAAACAACTGAAGATGGGCCCAATAGCCGTCAGCTGGAAGTGTTTGAACAACAAAACTAAGACAGTAGCATTACATTGTCAACTTCAGTACAAAATAGGTACCTCTAAATCTACTGGTATGAATAAATTACTGAAAATTTAAAAATGGAAAAGAAAGATCTCTCATCTAAGATTTTCCAAATAATGTATGTGGTTAACTGTACTCTGTAGGGTGGATTATAACTCCTACTCTTTCAGCGTGGAATAGCAAAACAATCTGAAAAGTGGGGAAAAGAGGTAACTATAGTAGAAACAATGGGCACTTTATTTATTTTTTTTTATTTTTTTGGTGGAACTAGGGATTGAACTCAGATCCTTGCACTTGCCAGGGAAGTGCTTATTCCACTGAGCCATCTCCCCGGTCTCAAATATTTTTGGTTTTGGTGACTATTTTATTTTATTGGTGGAACCGGGGATTGAACTCAGGCCCTTGCGCTTGCCAGGGAAGCGCTTACTCTACTGAGTCATCTCTCCTCCCCTAGTAGAAACAATGGGGAAATCCCACTCCAGCCAAATGCTCAAGGCCAGTATCAACAATAGTAGATCATGTTGATAGTATGTACCTTTGATATGATGTGATAAAAATGGCACTTTACCTCTGTGACCTTCTTCCCCAGACCCATAGCCGCAGCCAACTGATGTGAAGACTAGACAGATCCTGAGAGACCGTAAATCTGGCGGGGGCTTTCAAAACTGTTGAAGTCATTGAAATAAAGAAAATCTAAAGAGCCATCGTATCTAAGAGGAGTCTGTGGAGTAATGATGAACGTAGTCTCCTGGATGGGACAGAATGCTGAGGACAACCAGGAAGCCTGAATGAAGGGTGGACTTAGGTTGATAATGGCGTGTTAGGGTTGGTTCCTTAATTGTAACAAACGCACCGTACTAATGTAAGATGGTGATGACAGGGAGTACTCTGTACTACCTCTGCAATTTTGTAACTCTACATCCATTCTAAAATTAAAATTTACTTAAAAGTAAAGATATAAAACAACATACCATTCTACTGGGAATGAGGCACAAAATATTGAGGTTTGCTTTTTCTTGAGCACTGTGGCAGGACATCCATTCAGCCATCCTAAAGTTATTTATTGAATGCCTCCTCTGTGTCATGTTCTGGAAATATGGAAGTGTTTAAAAAATTTATGCACATAAGCCTAAATGTACTTATCATACAGTCGAGAAAGGGAACCAGACCAGAAAATAGATATGTGGGCCACGGCTGCTGTGCTGCTACCGCCGCTGCTCTGGTGGATTTGTGCCCCGCTTCCCCCAGGGCAGGCCCCGCCAACTCTTCCAGAGGAGGTTGGCGATTCTGATTCATTTCAGGTGGTGTGATTTTTGAGTGACAGTTTCTTTTTTAAAACAAATCCTGTAAATATAGTTTGACCCTTTACTGTAGTAAGCTCTCCTAGTGTGCTTGAAAGATTTTAGGTGGTATTCAGTGTCATATCCCAAAGTCTTCCAGTAAATCAAAAGAATGTCATACAGTAGGAAAACACACCTTTGTCTCATGAATTCTTTTGGGATGTTTCCCTCACCTGCTTAGAGCTACACAGGAGCTTTAAAACTTTCTTTTTCATCATGTTATTTTTGTGTTATTTGTATGTTGTAGGGCTGGACATGTGTTCTATAGTCCATTCATTGAATCATTTATGAGCGGACCTGCCATATGTGTACCTGAAGGCCTTTACACTTTGTTTCTCTGCTTGAAATGCTCTTGCCCCAGAATTTCTTCACTCAATCTTCATCTGCCTATCAGTACTCATAGATGTTGTCATGACTCTATAAACACAGCTTCTCTTCCCCCAACTTCTTCGTTCTCTGTCTCATTACTTTGTGCTAATTTTGTACATAGCACTTATTGTCACATGACCTTTATTAGCAGGTATGACTTTTGTTTATTGGTCTGTTCCTAGCAGAGTCTGTGGTATTATCCACAGTTGTAAAGAGCAGAGTCTGCATGGAGCGTGTATTGAGTGAATGCATGTTTAGCAAGCCTGCCTCCATTTCTTTTACAGGCCTAAAGAAAAGGGTTTTGGTGCCCAGCTCTGATGTATCGAGCATTTCCGTGATCATTACTTGGATTCCAAACCTGTTTGCTTTATTTACATTGGTGTAATACTTCACTGTTCTCAAGGTGCTTTTGCCTACATTGCCTCATTTGATGCCTTTTGTAGCACTGTGAAGGAAGTGGGGATATTTCAGACCTATTTGAAGATGAGATTAAGGTAACTATCAGAGCCAGAGCTAAAAACGAGGTCCAAGTGGTGACTGGGGCTTAGCTGTCTTCCCCACCTGCATGTAGAGTCTGTGGTTTGTTTTTATATTTTCCACAGGCCTATTTACAGGTGTGTCTGTTTGGACCTTTCATTGTACAGAATAGTTGTGGAGATAACTTTCCTCACTGAAACTGGAGGGGAATGTTTGGCTACTTCCTTCAGGTTCTTTGGATGGATGTGAGGTGAATCTCAGAAATTGGCTTTGTCTTCTTTTCTCCCCTTGCTGGAACAAAATACTCAACACTCAGAATTAAGGGAGGAAAGGTTTATTTAGCTCTTGGTTTGTAGAGAGATCAGTCCATAATCAGCAGGGTGTCAGGCAGAGTGAGTGGCCTGGCACGGGCAACTGTTCATTGTAGTGGAAGACAGGAAGCCAAGAGCAAAAAGGGGGAGAGCAAGCTTCTGTTCTTCCCTTACATTGTGTGCAGGCTGCCCGCCCGCATGTGGGCCCTTTACATAACGCTATCGCCATGTCCTCTGACTGAGGTTGTTTACCAAGTGAGGCCCTGGGCCCCTGCTGAGTCACTTAGTGAAACTTTTAAATTTCTCTAGTTGATGCAGTGAATCAACCATTACAAGCTAAAAGTTTGGTCCCATAGATTCGGCAGACTCCAGCAGTCACAAATCATCTAAGACCCTTGTTTATGCTAGATCTGATTCTTTTGCTCTGACGTAGGTCTGAGAGTCTTATTTTTTTTCTTGTCATTTAGATGTTTCAGTACATATACACATTGTGTACTGTTCAAATCAAGGTAAATATCTGTCACCTCATGTTGTTCCCACTTTCTTGTAGTAAACGAAATCCCTTAGCTTTTTTCAAAATATGTATAGATTGTTACAGTGTATAATCACTGTACGATGCAAGACAATGCTAGAAGTTGTGTTTTCCCACTCCTACTCTGTGGTTTTAGGCTACTTGTATGCAGTTCACATTTTGGTATTTCAGGGCTAGGTATCCACATGGAGCATAGATTCTCTATTAGGCTGACTGTGACAAACAGACTAGTAGATGGCTTTGGCTGAAATCACGCACACACACACACAGACACACGACACACACACATGCACACACACACACCCCAGCTCTATGGACTACAGGTAAACTACCTAACTTCTTTGTGTCTCCATTTCCCGTTTTAAAATGTTTGCATTAGTATCAGTGAGCAACAGTTGTAAGAGTCAACTGAATGAACATCTATAAAAGCACCTGGACAGTAATATGTAGTGTACAGCATTTCCATTTTCAGGGCGTCTTAGCTATCCCTATTATTATTCCTTTGTCTCTTTGTGCTATTCTGTTCAGATTCCTAAATAGATTTAAGATATTTTGTGAGGAAAGAGGTTGCTTAAAATATTTGCAAAATAAATAGCCTGGTGTCTTTCATGAAAGTCCTAATCTGGTTGGAAGATACCCTTTTCATCAAGGAACAAGGTGGTAGAAATGACCTTGTGGGGACTCTCCTGTTCTGTGTGCTTTCTATCAAGCACAAGGAATGAGGGAGCAACACGTGGCTCTCTAGTTCTCTAGTAAGGTGTCGTGGTCTGTGGCATTAACCACAGGCGTAAAATTGTTTTTTATTTGTCACAGCCATTCATTAAATAAACCAACTTGATTTTAACTGGTGGTGTGGTGCTCTGGACACCAGAGGACCAGAGGTCCGTAAGACCCCACTGCGTGCCTAACTTTATTCTTCTGGTAGTAAAAGAAAGAAAGTACGGTCAGAATCATTTTAAAGATAGATTTTGGTTTAGTTTTTCAAGTAATTAAAGTTGTATTCCTCAGGGGGAGAAATTTATATAATTCATTTCTTTCACTAACTTAAGTGTAAAAAAAAATAAGTTTTAAATTAACACAGAGTTTTTCTTGCTTTTGTTTTAGGATCAGACTTTATTAAGACCTCTACTGGAAAAGAAACAGTAAATGCCACCTTCCCAGTAGCTATCGTAATGCTAAGAGCCATTAGAGATTTCTTCTGGAAAACTGGAAATAAGGTATAGCATTGCCAGAAAATCTTTCTTTAAAGATAATGTTATTTATAATACTCATTATAGCCACCACGATAACTGTCTTTATATGCAGAAGGTGTGAATGAGTTACCTTTATTAAGATAAATGTTTAATTTACCTCTCATTATAAAAGAACACATTTATGGGGGGAAAATGTGTGATTAACAGAAAGCAAGTGTGAGTGTTGAAGTATGTGTGATCAAGATGTAAACTCACTTTATGTCCTTTTATTAACCGAAGACAATTTTATCACTGACAAGAGATTCCTAAATGGGTTCTTTAACGAACTAATTCTGCTGCAACACAGAGGCTTTCTCGCAAGGCGTTGGCCAGCAAAAACAGGTTAATGCAGAAATTAAACTTCCTTGAGGAATGGAAAGAATTGCAGAGTAACATTTATTGAATGATAAGCGGTGGTGGTGATGTGAAAAGTATGCAATATAATAGGAAATAATCTTTTCCTGTCATTATTGAAGGACACACATAAATTGGTTTTTCTGTTGGGAAACCCCCGGTCCAGAAAAACTTATTACTTTTAATAATATGAGGTGAAGAGAAAATTCTCGAGGAGATGAACTTATTAAACAAAATAATGAAATGCTGTGAAACAGCAGGGAAAAGGTAGCTAGACGTTATATAGCTCTTGAATTAAATATCCATTTTTGCGTTTTATGGCAGTTGGATGTGCTCTTTGGAAGACTATTAAGCTGAGGAGGGTATGTGCTAGCTTTTGTCAGCTTTTCGAAAAATAATACATAGTTTTTTAAATATATGAAGTTAAAAGGAAAAATGTGTATGAGGATGAGGTGTTTTTGGAAGAGTTGTTTGGATTTTCGTTTTTACTTCAAGTTGCTTGGCTAGCTGTAAATTATCTCAGGATATTAAAGGATATTTAATGTCATTGGAGAGAAAGGTTGTGTGTGTGTGTGTGTGTGTGTGCGTATGTGTGTGTTTAATGAGGCTTTTCCTTATTGAGAGGTATCTTTTAAAAACCAATCTCTTGATTTCTGCCAAATAGAACCCCTAAAAGGCCTTTAATTCTTTGCCAACTGGGTGCGATGACTTTGTATGAACTGTAGCTTCAGTTTATTTCACAGTTGGAGACTTTTTTTTGTACTGGTTGTGAGAGGAAATAAACACTTTTCACAATTTTCTGCCTCCAAATAACCTCAGACGTTCAGTACAAATAGCTGAAGCACGTATTGTCACCTGCAGATGACAGCTGATCCAGCTTGAGTAGACTCTGCCTGATCGTCTTCCTGCATGGATCCACACAAGTTTTTTTAAAACATCTTTTTTTTTTTTTTTTTTTAAGAAAAGCAATAAAAATGAGAAATCTGTTGGCTTCTCAGGTGAAACTATCACTGTGCAATAGACGAGTGGTTCTCATACTTGGCCGAAGATCATCAAAGGCAGACGTGGAGCCCTTTATGCACTGAGAAGCCTCGGCCGCCGTCTCTGGCAGGGCTGGGTCTTAGGGCTTCCTCGGGCATCTATGTTTCATAAGCTCTGTTGCCAGGGTTAATAAATGCCCTTGGGACCCACCAGACAGCTTCTCAGTTGTGAACCCGGTGCCGTGTTAATCAGCGTTAAATGCTTGGAAGGCAAAAAGGTGCAAGTACCCTTCCAGGAAAGCTCTCAGACAAGCAAAGAATTTTAGGCAGTGTTTCAAGTTCACAAACAAAGCCCAGCCCATTTGCAAGAGAAGAGGGGGTACAAGTCAAATCGTGCCCATTTGGCCACATTGTGTGTACAGGTCTGTAAGTCAGGTACAACCATTTTTAGGTTGTTGACAAGATGCGTGGGCAGCCCTGACTGTAAAGTTTCTAATCATTGATTTAAGCGGTGTTTTACAGTGTGATAGGCTGCCTCCTAGACCATGATTAGTGTCACTCCCGAGAAGCAGAGGTTTAATATTTCATAACTGATTTCATTATAGATTTATATTTTCCATATTCTCTCCCTTAAAAAAAGATTAACTTATGCGTGAACCTCTCTTTGGAAATGTTGCCAAATAGACTTGCTGACACAAACTGAACCATATAGAAAATCTATAGGAGCCATTGCCTGATTAACAGAAAGGCTTCTGTGATTACTGTGTATGCTAAAATCAGCTAATTGATGGCTTTTTTTTTTTTTTTTTTTTTTTGCCTCAGTTCAAAAAACAACCTCATCCTGTCCTACCCCCCATGCCCACTGCGTTATAGAGTCATTATTTGGGGCCCAGGATATAGCAAATCTGGCTACAAATGCTGACTAGGGTGCATTCCTATAATCCCATCTACTTGGAAGGCTGAGATAGGAAGAATAAGGTTGTTAAAATATTATTATTATTATTATTTTTTTTTTTGTATTTAGTACAGGGTCTCACTGCATAGATAATACTCTAGTGATCTGCCTGTGTTCAGCCTCCCAAAAAGCTGGGATTATAGGCATGCGCCACCATGCCCAGTCTTGATTGCTGTCTCAGCGCACCCTGGGGTTAGGCTGGCAGGGCATGCCCAGGATCGAACCCCTGCCTGCGCTATGCCTAAGCAGGCACTTAAATCTCCTGAGCTATTTGACTAGACCAGGTTGTTAAAATTTTAAAACACAGGGGTTATAGCTTGGTGGTGAAGTGCTTGCCTAGCATGTGGAAGGCACTAGGTTCAATCCCAGTACTGGTTCCACCAAGGTAAGTGCTGCATTGCTACCGTGCAGCCATGCGACATCATGTGACTGAGCCAGGGAAATCAGTTGGCAGGCTAACTGACATTCCAAATGAGAACTGGTGAAGGTCTATCCTGAGCTTTGGGGGAAGAGCAGACAGGAAGGCGTGCATTTGGGAGCCGCAGAAGCTAAGGAAGAGAGATTGCTAGGACTAGTCTGTTGAAGGGAGGATGCAGCCAGGGAATCTCGGGCTTTGGATTCTTTCTGAGGGATCCTGCTGGAGTTGATGATAGAAGCCCTCCTGTGTTTCTTCCTTCTCTTGCATTCTGTTAGCAGTCGCTTGCGCTGTGCGACCTACCAAAGAGCGACTCTAAGCAACTGTAAGGCTTAGTACTTGGCTTGCATGAGTGCTGTTTGCTCTCAGCTACAGATTTTCTGTTCCACTGGCTGGTCAGAGTGTTAAACAAGAAAATCCAAATGAGCAGGGTTTTACCACAAATGGAACATCCTTTTTCCTTTCATAGCAGATACAGGACATTATTTAAAAGGATAGCGGCCGAACTGTGTTGTTTTACGGCCACCCTTATAGACTGCAGAAATCTAAAAAGCTCTCTTTTTCTGTGGTGTGTGTGTGCTCCTGGCCTCCTGCTTCACAGAACTCTGAGCCTACAACTGCAGAAAGAAATCCTTACAATTAAGGTGATTAAAGCAACTGTCAGCTCTCCTTGCTGGACTGCTGCCAGTGGTGAGGTAACCTTGTGGGTACATGGATTCTGCTCTCTTACTTTAGCTAGACTTCTAAGTTTGAGCCTCAAGATGAAGGCTGGAAGGTGACTATAGATGCGTACTTGTAGAAATGTAGGATGTATGAATGGGCTTCTGGGATATACTTTTCTGTTTGTTGATACCTTTCTCATTTCTTCTGGGTTCATAGCTGTGGTCTGGAGATGGTGCTGGATGAATTGAAAAAGATGGAAGAAAAAGAATCATAATTCTCTATGAACACAGTAACTTTTTTATTTCAGAAAATAATTCTGCTCTGAGTTCCTCTATAAGTTTCTGCTGTTGCTTATTCACTATTGATGCTATTAATTTGTACATTTGAGCTGAGCTAGTAGAAAAGAATTCTGCTCTGAGTTCCTCTATGACTTTCTGCTGTTGCTTTTTTACTATGGACACTATTAATTCATACATTTGAGCTGAGCTAGTGCCCTCTGCATTTGTTCCGGGTGGGCATTGGGTTTCCTCCATATGTTTCTGCATTTGATTCTTTACTGCAGATGTTATTAATTCAGGGATTTCTTTTTTCATTTCCAATCTGAGTTCCTCTATACCTTTCTGCAGCTGTTTATTTCAGAAGCCGTTGATTCATTGCTTTCAGCTGTGTGATTCCCAATTTGTTCTGTGTTAGTGTCCTCTGCACTTGTTATGGGTGGGCATGGGTTCTGAGATTGCATTTCGCTCCTTCTTGTTGTCATTTTGTGTAGCACTCTCTTCTGACCTTTGCTGTAGATCTTTGTTGTAGTTATAGCCTTACCACCTACTGAAGTTCAGGTGCAGCTCTACAAGGTTTGGATTTATCCAGCTGTACCTGGCTTGGGTCTGGCTGCTGTGCTCAGGTCCTTCCTGTTGCTGCCCTTGGGGGTGAACCTGTTGTGCCCCTCTGGCAAGATGTTCTACTCCTGGACTAGCTGGGTAGTTCTGTCCCATATACTTTCTACAGGGATTGCAGCTGAAGGGTTTCACCCCAGGCCTATATGCGAGGCCTGAGCTGAGCCTGGAGGGGACAAGGTGGAGTAGGGGTAAAGGTAGCTCTTCCACACACTCACTGGGCCTGGACTAGGACTGGATCTAGGGGTTCCCAGAACACGACAGAAATTCCTACTCTGTGGGCAGGCTGTGGGGGGGTACTATGGAGTGATGGGGGTATCCCAAGAGGGTTAAAGATGGTGTCACCCACGCTGTGCCTGGGCTGGTACCAGTAGGTTCCGCTGGTGCAGGGTAGCTAGAAGCTCTCCCACACACTCACTGGGCCTGGGCTAGGACTGGGTCTGGAGGCTCCTAGAATGCAGCAGAAATTCCACCTCGGTGGGCGTGGTGGGGGAGGTGCTGCGGAGTGGTGTGGGGCGTCGCAAGGGGGTGGAAGAGGGTCTCACCCACGCTGCGCCTGGGCTGGGACCAGTGGGTCCTGCCGGCGCAGGGTAGCAGGAAGCTCTCCCACACACTCACCAGGCTTGGGCTAGGACTCAGTACCTTTTTTAAAAAAACAATGTGATAGGGGCCGGGGAGATGGCTCAGTAGAATAAGCACTTGCCTGGCAAGTACAAGGACCTGAGTTCAATCCCCCGTTCTGCCAAAAAAAAAAAAAAAAAACCCAAAACATTGCGATAATAATGGTCATGGTTGTCCTCTCTGTCTCTCCCCTCCCCACCCCCAGGTGGGCTTTAAACCTGCGGGAGGCATCCGCACTGCCAAGGATGCCCTGACCTGGCTCTCACTTATAAAGGAGGAGCTAGGGGACGAGTGGTTGAAGCCAGAACTCTTTCGCATAGGTGCCAGCTCGCTGCTCTCAGACATTGAGCGGCAGGTGAGTGATAACTCCTTGTCCTTGCAGGGACTTGACAGGTGATTTGGAGGAAAAAATGGTGGTAAAAAAAAAAAAAAAGAACTACAGGTCTCATTACAGTGAGACCCTGTAGACCTTGTACTAAAATACAAAAAATAAAAATAAAATAAAATAAAATTCTAACAACCTTATTCTTCCTCAGTTCTGGAGGTAAAAATGGAGAACCTTGTTCTCCATTTTTTTTTTTTTTTTTTTTTAAACTGGAGGTAAATTTACCTCCTCATCTCTAAGCCTCTCCCTTCTCTCTAGTAGACATTCACCTAAAGCAAGCTGGGTGGAGACGCTGCTGAAACAGACCCCTTCACCACCCCCAGGCTGGAACCTGCTGCCTTCACAGCACCCCAACCCTTGCACTTTTACAACTTGTTTGATTTCAGATGGTCTCACTAAGTTGCTCAGGCTGCACTCAGATTTACAACCCTCCTCCTTCAGTCTCCCAGTATATCAGTTATTAGTTGAGAGTATGCTAATTAACTGATGTGTATAATTTTATAATTATTGATGAGCTATCCTTCATTTTCCTCACAGATTTACCATCATGTGACTGGAAGATACCCGGCTAATCATGATCTTCCGATGTCCTGAATCAGCAACCTGCCTCAGAGAAGTTCTTTGCAACAGTGTTTTTTGTTGTTTTTTTTTTAATTGTTTTCCCATAATTGCTAGTCATGCTACTAAAAATTAGGGAAATAGATAACTTTTTTTTTCTCTTAAAATTTATACTGAACTTAGACCTCAGAATGAAAGGAAAAGCAAACTAATCTTTCTGTGGCCCTGTTTCAAGTATGAAATGATTTTAATTACCAAAAAAAAAAAAAAAAAATCTATACTGTTCATTTTGTGAAGGTATTTTCATAAAAACTCCAGGTAAAATATTCGTGATTGCTTAGATGCATTCAAATTCTAAAGAGGGGAGGAATGAAACTACCCAGGCAGTATGCCCAGCAAACGAAATTATAACACCACAAGCTTCCCCTGTAATAATCCCAGGAGCGACCAAGTCCACACTGGATTTCCTGCCATGAAGTTCCATCCTTGATTTTTGTGGAGGAGATGTCTCTTTTTACTAATTGTTATACTGGTCAAATTTCTGATATTGTTATATGGAACTATGAATTTCAATCAATTTTTAAATAAAAACCTTGTTTATTAAAAAAAAACACTTTAACTTATGACAGTGCATATTGAAAAATTGATCCATGAAACACGAAGAAGTTTTATCAATGAATTTCTGAATGTCTGTTATAGGTTCCTTGGGAATATAGCTCAGGTGAAGCACCTCTGTTCATTACCAGTGAATGTAACTTACCCCTATATTCTGAAACTGAAACTTTCTGGCGAATAGGAAGAAAACAGTGAAGAGTAACACTAGTACTAAGTGCACTACTATGTGCTAAGCTCTTTGCCATTATCACTTTATTTAATCCTTACTTAATCCCCATAATACTAAGGTAAGTACAATAAGGTTTTAATCCTCACAATATTAAGAATTGATATCATCCTTTTATACAGATGCAGGGCTAAGGATCAGAATCGAAGCAACCTGGCAAAGGCTAGGAGAAATGAGAAGCTAAGACTCGAGCCCAGGTGGGCTGTAGAGACCGCTTGTGGCGCCACATGTGAGCGCGCATGGTGCGTGCGTGCGTGTGCGTGGCGCCAAATGTGAGCGCGCATGGTGCTTGTGTGCGTGGCGCCAAATGTGAGCACGCATGGTGCGTGCGTGCGTGTGCATGGCGCCAAATGTGAGCGGGCATGGTGCGTGCGTGCCGAGGGTTGGCTGCTGAGGTGGTCTCCTGCTTGTGCAGTTCGCGTCTTTCCGCTCCTCCTCTCAGTATTTTCGCCCCCAGTATAGAACCTACGTATATCAGGAGTCTTTGATTCCTGCGCACGCGACTGTCCACGTACGGGTAAGCAAAACCCTGAGCTGCGAGTCAGTTTTGGCTTCAGCTCCTCATCTGTTGAGTTCCCGCCCAGCCGTGGCCTTTTCTTTCTGGCTCTGGGGCCTTGCTCCGGTCTCCACATCTCGTGACCTCTGTTTCTCATCTGAAAAATGAAGGCGCGGGGGCAGGTGATCAGCATTCTTTCATCCCTAAGATCATACTACTGCAAGGATAATTAGAGCAAATGTAAGGAAATATTTTATGACTAGAAAAACACTTCGTACGAATCGAAGTTAGAATCTGCCTCTCAGGAGTCAATTAAAACAAATCCCTCAAAGCGTCTCTCTTAAGAAAATGACTAACATCAGAACAGAAAAGAAACCCTTCTTTCCCCCAAGTCTGAGCAGGATGGCAACTCCTAACTTGTGCCTATGGGTATGGTCCCTGGCTCTGAATGCCACATCCAGCTCCATAACAGGCCTGCCCAGGTGCCCACCAGTGCAGTGGCCAGTCACCTTTGGAGAAGAAACACTGCAGAAAAATAATTACGTTCTATCACCTTTGAGGCTGTTTTCATTTCACTGGGGTTTCTGTTTTCCTCCCATTAAACCCAGCTGGTCATTTCAGTTGATCAAGTGAACAGGCATCATTATCTTCAATTTTAATTTATATGAGGCATTCACTGAAATTGACCTCTGCGGACAATTATAGATGCACGTAGGAAATTAAGACTGGTGAGTCTCTCAAACCTATTAGAGACTGATGAGCCTGGCCTGATCCAAAGATAAGTAATATTGTCGTTTGAGGGACAGTGTATTCCAAGGGCTATGGGGCGCCTCATCAGGGATGCTTACCCCTTCTTACCTGGCTCTTGAAATCAGTTGTAATGCAGGCGACTTTAATGTTGATTGCTATGAAAACATAAGAGGAGGAGGTCAATTTTGAGGTGACTGTGATTTACTCTACAAGCAGATTTGTGTACTTCAGAACATTGGGAACAGATGCTTCATACAATCAGAAAATGAACTGGTATGTGTTGTGTGTTCAAAGCTTAAAAGTTAATAGCGATGTGCCTGTCTACCTCCTAAAATTGTCAAACGTGTTCATTAAGGCCTTGCAAGTCACTTTAAAAACAGTGAATCATATAATTTGGGGTTTAATGGGAAGTCAGTTGTACAAGGTCAGGATGGAGGCCAGACACTCCTGCTCATCACAGGTTGAAATACTTCACAAGGCGTGGCCAGGTCTCTGGAATGGACATTTGTTGTTTGCTTTTGAACCCTGCTGCCGTATGTGACTATATTTGTCAGCAGGTGGCCTACTTTTGTCTCCAGGATTGTTGTAAAGGGTGTTTTGGCAAAAACCACCCTTAAGAAAATGAATTAACATAATTTTATAACTATACATCCTTTGACTCACCCTGGATTACCTCAATATTAAAGAAAAGTTCACATGAATCAGTTCATAGGAAAAGTAGCTTCAAGCTGGATGTGGCACCACATGCCTGTAGTCCCAGCACTCGGGAGGCTGAAGCAGGATGACTTCTCCAAGTTTAAGGCCATCCTGGGCTACATAGTAAGTTGCATAGAAAGACCCTGTCTCAAAAAGAAAAAAAAGACCTCCCATGGAGAAGACCTGAGCAGAAGTGGGGTCTGTGCAGAGAGTGGGGGGTGCACCCACAGTCTCATGCTATTGTTCCAGACCCACAGAACACTTTGCTGCATTGGGCAGAGCTGTCTTACAGAAAACCAAATCATCTTAGGAAAATCAGCTTACTCTTGTACAGAGGTAAACCAATATTAATTTTCTTCCATCTTCCATCAACCTGACGGTTTTTTTGGCTCAACATAAATAGGGCCGGAGTGCAGAGCTATAAAGAAGAAAGAATTTGAGCAGATCTTGCTTCAAAGAGAATGAAATGTTATGCTCATTTTGGCACGAGGAAATGTGTATGAAGCGAAATCAATCTCTACTTTTATTTTTCCTGATCACACTCAGGAGTCCTGCCTCCCAAAGGAAACTATGTATTTAATAACTACTGCCAAGTGATCCTTCCCAGAAATGACCACAGGTAACATCTGGCTGTTATATAAAATATGTAGTAAAAATAATCATTTTTAATTAACTAAAACCTGCTCAGGAGAGAGAGTAGAGGAATATCCATCTGGTCAATTCTTATTTAATAGGGCAAATGAGAATCAGAATGTTTAATTCAATGTATGTGAAATACTTAGTGACCTTACAATGAACTAAAACTTTTTCTTAGGAAAAACAATGGTGAGATAGAAGAATCAGAGTATCTAGAAAGGACCAACTTAAAATTTGATTTTTTTTTTTAAAGTACATGTTATAAAACAGGCAAAATATATTAAAGCCTAGGTTTTGTGGCATTAGTTTCTCTGGTTCAGTGGCAGGGAATGTTTTCAAATCACTTGATCAGTAAAATGAAGTATTCCTTGTTCTGGAGGTTGACAGGGATGATGACAAGTTTTACAAAGTAATTATAAACTGAGTTTAGTGGCACACCATAATCCAGCGCTGTAGGAGGCAGGAGGGCTGTACATTCAAGCCTAATCTGGGTGATTTAGTGACTTGAAATTTAAATAAATCTGGGAATCTAGCCCTGGGGTCAATCTCCAGGGCTTCACTCCCCTCCAAAGATGTTTATAAGTAAAGATAAAGGAATCAGGATTATTTTGGCTGAGGTGAAGATTGAAGAGTACTTAATATTTAATATTCTCAGAAAGAGTTATTTCTAATATTAAATTTTAGTAAGCAAGGTGCCTGTATTTCCTCTGTAGAAGATGAAGTGAGTTCAGACCACATTGGAAGTTGGGTTCTGGAAGGAAAGAACACTTGCTGCTTGCAGTGTGTTATCCAGAAGACGCATCTCCCTGTCTTCTCCTCCAAAGTGGATTCCCCATTAATCGGAGTGGTTTCATTATCCTGCCAAAGGAGAGCATAGTAAACAGGATGCTGAGCCCTATCGTGGCTGGGTTGTGGGCAGAGAATTTGATTACTAAGCAATTCCAAGACGGTGTTGAGGTCGTGATCTGCAAGCTGCTGCGAGAACCACTGGACTAGAAAGCACACCATGTACTTCACTACATCCCAGGACATTGTGGCCACCACCAGCAGCACTGAGTGGCAGCAGCCCCTCTCTGTGCTGGAGCTCCAGTTGTGTCCATTTTGCTGCTTTTCTTGGCAAGAGCAGGAGAGGGAACAATGGAAGCGACACTGATCCTTAGTCCTTTCACAGTAGGCAGTGAACTTCATTCCCCTTCAGGCTTAAACGTGAGCTTTGGAGCCTAGAATAAACACTTTATGTGGGTTTAGAGTCACTATCCACAAATCTCCAGGGGATTTCAGCAAACCGAGATAAGTAACATTCAGCTGTACTTGATTTTTACCAGTTTGGTATGCTTTAACTTGGCTATTCAAAGATGGTAATGTACTTAAAAGTAAGAGCTGTTTTAACAGAGCTTATTCTTGAGTTTGGAATAGATGCTGTGGGGAAAGACATGTGTCACAGATTCTTGGCTTTTGATTTGGAGGTGTCATGCAAATGTCCCCTAGAGCTGATGAAAACAAGAGCTCACTGATCTTTTCTGCACTGAAGGGCGCTTTACATTTGTCTTTTGCATTTTAAGTGTGTGCTATATACATAGGCATGGCTCGTAGTTCTGAATAAATGTAATAGAGAAAACATCCTTAATTTTAGTTTGTTGAGTGTCTTACAGAATATTAGGGAAGGCCAAATGTAGTCAGAAGTAGAGGCAGCCGGGTAAGAATATTGGGCAAACCACTCTTTATTTAAAGCCATAGTAATGAATATCTGATCCCCAGTTGCCGCTGGTCACTTGGCACCAAAAGCTGTGCCTTTGCTGTCTGTGAACGCTGTATTTATCACAGTGGCCAAGGTGGGTGATTCCCTTTGCTCTCTTGGGTCCCAAAGTTCTGCGCATTGTGTCTGACTGTCAGGACCTCCCTCACAGGCCCGCATACTAGCTGCCGTGGAGGCAGTTTCATCCCACTGCCTGCTGTCATGATCCTGGTCAGTGATGGCAGAGCAAAGTGGTACTCAGGAGAAAGCTGTACTTATGGTAGGAAGGCAATGCTATAGCTGTTTTCTTTTTTTGTGGCCAGCTCTGCTTGCCCTAGGGGCAGGGCTAGCACAGCAAGTGGTGCTGGGGATCAAACTGTGATCCTTGAGCCCTTGCCTGAGCAGGTGCTTTAGACCGCTGAGCTTTATCTCACTGTCCC